AGGTTTTTGTTTTACTCTGCTTAAAGCGTAAGAAGTAAAGTAAAACAGAATACTTGGCGACTTCGAGTACCATTCGTTTMGTTTTGCAGCAATGCTTGGTATGCTCAAACACTTGCAAGTATCAGTATATTTGGAAGACGACCACAAGCAAGCATACCTATGCAGGCCTCTAGTTCATACATACGGACAGACGGACGGACAGACAGACGGACAGGGCCAAATCAGCTCAGCTCGTCGCCCTGATCAAGAATATATATACTTTGTGGGGTCCGCCACGCCTCCTTCTGCCTGTTACATACATTTCAATAAAACCATTATACCCTGATTTCCCATTGAAAATGGGTTCAGGGTATAAAGAAAAAAAACAGTCGATATGCTGAGAAAAGAAATACGCATTAATTTTGGCCGGGCGAACATGATGTGGTCTATCCAATGGCAGCATTTTGTCTTTTCTGACGAGAAAAATTGAATTTGGAAGGAACTGATGGCTATAATTATTATTTCCATGACCTACTCATATAAGAACATTATTTAACACGGTTTCCAAGCCGCTGCGGCGGCGGGGGTGGTGTGGCATTGGTGAAGCAGCACTTGCAAGCTTCAATTTTTGACATCGCGCATGAACGCATGGGACTATAACATCGTTTTTAAAACTGCTGTTCCGCATTTCTATAACCTGTCTGAAAACCGGCATTAGATTTTCCAGCATGATAATGCTCCAATTCAGACCACCCGATCCGTGAAGTCTTAGATTCAGGGCCAAAAAATTGATCTCATGGAGTGGCTACCATACTCAATCGACCTTAATATCATTAAAAACGTCTGGGGATGGTTGGTCAGGAAAGTATATGAGTCTGGAAAGCATTATAGTACAAAGACAGAATTAATCGAACACGCTTGGTCAACCATATCCTTGAATTATATTGAACAACTTTATAATTCCATTTCTAATCGAATTTTTGAAGGAATTTCAATCAAAAAGCGGCACTACGCACTACTAATACTACTTAAAAATAATAATAGCTTAATATACAGGTGTTAATTTTGGTCAATAACTTAAGTAAATTGAATTTATCGCAGGGGCGCTAATCTGATGACCAAATTTTAGTTACATTTTTTTTTTGTACATTTTACAAAAAAAAATTATTAAAAATTATTCCCTATTGCTACAGTAGCCATTGTTTTTTATTTTAAAGAGAAATAGATATAGGATAATACAAAAAAAATTTTAAGATGAAGCTCTGATGGTTTAGCTTTTATTCAGCTTTGAGATTGAGTGTAAAGGGGGGCGCTAACCTGATGACGCGCAGTGTATTTACTTAGAGGAGAAATTACGAAATGAAATAATAATAAATATTTGTAATCAACTATTAACTAATATTAACTCACCTTGATACGCTTTGCCCACTCGGTGTCGCTAATTGCAATTATATCCAGACAATAATCACATACTTTTCTAATTTCCTCATTCTTGTCATGCATAAGATCTATAAGATAGGCAGGCGACTCAGTTTCCCTAATCATATACTCCCTTGTACTTTCGTGTCTCAAAATCTGTTGGAACACAAAAATTATTTGTAGCACAATCTCATCATCTTCTTGCTTGGCCTTTAATAGCTCAATCAGTGAAATCACAACCTTCGCGCGACAGAAAAGGAGAGCACAAAGCTCATCGCATGCACATGTTCCCAGATAAACTATAGTATCAAGAACAATATCATCAAGTCTTGCGCAGGGTATTAGTACTTTTCGTATCCAAGATATTAACTGAAAGTTTTGCAGTATTTGCGAGTAATCTAGGTCAGTTAATGTTAGATTTCCTAATAGGCCTAAACACTCTACAATGAAAGATTCCTCTTCACAGATAGTCAGTACACGTGCAAGATCCCCTACATAGTCTATGTATTGAAGTTGTAGCGATTCATGCTGTGAAATATTTCGTAATAGTTTCATCAAGAGAGCATCCTGGTACTTGAACGAACGATCCATAAGACTGTGCAGACGCTGACCTTCAACCATAATTTGTGCATTACGTCGGTTCAATGACAAATTTATACAAAGAGCAATAAGATCCAGATCAACTTTTACATTAAGATTCAATATAATAGCATCTGTGGCCATTTGTACACACTCCGTGTGAATGAACATTGACTTAACCCTATCATCGAGGCTCATATGATACAGTATCTTAACTGCAATGCCATGATGATTTTCGTCGTTGATAAACATAACTAGCATAGGCAAATAGCCAGCTGTAACCATTTTTAGGCGTAGAGTCGCATCAAACGATAAATTGAAAACTAGCTTAAGAGTAACTTGCACCAAATCTGTATGTGAATTTTGAAACAACCTTGGTAGTTTTGCGATAATATTTAAGTCGCACATTTCATCCTTATTTTCGCCAACAATAGACAGTTTTTTAAGAAACGTGATTATTAATATAAGCAAATCAATGTTTTGACGATCAAGTGCTTTGACGAGCATTCTAACAATGTTTTTTCTCCTCATTTTTTCCTCAAGCTTTACATTCTCGGCCATGTTAAGCAGCAGATAAAAGGCAACACGAAGTAGCTGTTCCTGCTTCTTGGCAAATATTTTAAGTTGTTTGTTAAGTCGATCAATTTCTTCTTTCTTAATTTTTGGGTCATTTTGGTCTAATGAATCGATGCTTTGCGCTCTTATCTCAATCGTAGAATTTGTTTCTAATGCATTTGTATTAGAATTTGTATGAGTTCCAGAAGAGAGTGCTTCGTGATAACTGTTGTTCAGCATTTGATTTCTCATAAGGGAAGATGACATTGTTCCATGAAAGTTACTCCAATTACCCGACTTTGGTCGCTGCTTTAATTCTGGTATTCGCCGACGAGGAGGCTCCATCTGAAAATATAATTTTTGATATTTTTATAAAATGGAAACTGAAATTTGAAACAAATAAGAATGCTCCAGTCGAGACTGCTCGGCTCGGAGATACCCTGAAACCTACAAAGAAATTATATTCCAATCATTCTGCACTTATTTGATACACACATGTACATTCACCACGTATAAGCACAGGGTAACTACGCAGATTACAGCGACTGCGCTTGGGATACAATGTGGGCAATATTATGTTGACCAATTGTTGACCATTTGCAGCAGTATTTTTAACTATTTCCGTTGTTCCAAACGATGTCATTTAAAAGCATGAATTGAATTTTCACTGACTGCAAGAACAGCGAAGAATCAGGGTCTGTACCAATAAGGAAGCCGTGCAATGGTTCCGGCGGTGTTTTAATTTCTGGGAGCATTACTTTTGCTGATGAGAAGCACACATTAAATTAAAAAAAACAACAACAAAAAAACAAGTAAGAAAGCTCTAGTCGAGACTACTCGACTACGAGATCCCCTGAACCCTTGGAGTAATAGCTATTTCATAATTTTTCGCGTCTTTCAGCTTACACAAGAAACACGCGCACACACACACACACACACACACACAC